CTCTAGTAAACCACCTGACACTGCCTTTAGTGCATGAGATGACGTTCAAAATAAACTGTTCTCCAAATAACCTTTCCTGCCTATAAAATCCAAAAAACTAAAAACAATTATAATATATATAATATATAAAAATACCATATAAAATATAATAATTATAATTTCACAAGTGCTAAGGTGAAGCTACTATAGCTATACATTGCTAATAAAGTTATAAATTTGTGCAGCTTATCCTGAAAACACTTTGATTAAGGTCCTTTGTCGGAAAAACAGATATTTATTACCCTCTGTCCTCTGTAAATCTCTTCTAGGTAGTCTCTCTTGAAGGAATCATTCTCTACAAATCAGTGGCTCTCAAGGTGGGGTCCAGAGACCAGCAGCAGCAGCATCAGTCTCGCCTGGGAACTAGTTAGAAAATGCATCTCCTCAAGCCCACTCCAGACCTCCTGAACCAGAAGCTCTGGGGGCAGGACCACCCTGTGCTTTAATAAGCCCCCCAAGTGACTCTGATACCCACTAATCTTTGAGAATCACCCCTATAACAGTTCTCAAACTTGGCAGCACATTAATATCACAGCTTAAGAAAATCCCACCTGAGAGATTTTTACTTTGACTGGTCTGGGGTAAGGTCTCAGCAAAGCTCCCCAAGTGATTCTAAAATGCAGTCACGTTTAAGAAGTAATTCAATAAATAAATCCATTATAAGCCTTCAGTACTGTATTTTGTTTTGTTTTGTCAAGTGGAGAAAATGTGGATATGAACTAAATGTTCATATTTTTAAAGTCCATGTATACTCATTCAAAATAGAAGTTACAAATATTATGTATTTTAAAATGAAAAATTAGGGCACCTGGGTGGCTCAGATGGCTAAGCATCTGCCTTCGGCTCTGGTCATGATCCCAGGGTCCTGGGATCGAGCCCCACATCGGGCTCCCTGCTCAGTGGGGAGCCTGCTTCTCCCTCTGCCTCTCTCTCTGTCTCTTATGAATAAATAAAATCTTTTAAAAAAATGAAAAATTATTGGAATATAATTTACGTACCTTAATTGTGCATATAAAAAATGAGTATTACCTATAAAGAGAGGAAAAAACAGACTAAAAAGAAATACATGAAAACATCAAATGTTTGTATTGTAAACAAATTTTTTTCTATTAATCTGCATTTCTGAAATGCATTTAAATGTGCAAAGGTTTTTATGTAAGATTATTATTTTTTAAAGTAATATTTTTTAAAAAGTACTTGACAATATCAGTGTTTTGTTGAAGTGGCATGCCCTAAAATAAAGGCAGTAAATGAACAGGCAGAGAGATTTACGGACACTGAAGCTCTATTAAGTTATTTTCTTTTTATGAATCCCTTTTTAAAAATTTTTAATTCCATGGGTGCCTGAGTGGTTCTGTCAGTTAAGTGTCTGACTCTTGATCTCACTTCAGGTCTTCATCTCAGGGTCGTGAATTCAAGCCCATTGCTGGGCTCCATGCTGGGTGTGGAGCCTACTTAAAAAAAAAACTAAAAAAAATTTAATTCCAGTATAGTTAACATAGTGTTAGATTAATTTCAGGTGTATAACATAGTGATTCAAGAGTTCCATACATTACCCAGTGCTCATCAAGATAAGTGTACTCTTCATCCCCATCACCTGTTTCACCCATCCCCCCACCCACCTCCCCTCTGGTAGCCATCTGTTTGTTCTCTAGAGTTAAGAGTCTGTTTTTTGGCTTGTCACTTTTCTTCTTCCTTTGTTCACTGTTTTCTTTTTTTAAGATTTTATTTATCTATTTATTTTGACAGAGAGAGACAGCAAGAGAGGGAACGCAAGCAGGGGGAGTGGGAGTGGGAGAGGGAGAAGCAGGCTTCCCACTGAGCAGAGAGCCTGACTCAGGGCTCGATCCCAGGACCCTGGGATCATGACCTGAGCCAAAGTCAGATGCTTAACGACTGAGCCACCCAGGCGCTCTTCACTGTTTTGTTTCTTAAATTCCACATGAGTGAAATCGTATGGTATTTGTTTTTCTCTATTTGACTTAGCATTATACTCTCTAGATCCATCCATGTTGTTGCAAATGGCAAGATTTCACTCTTTTTTATGGCTGAATAATATTCCATTGTATATATATACCACATCTTCTTTAGGATGTAAAGTATGACACAATGTACCAAAAACATGGCAGGGGAAGGATAAAGAATGGGCTCAAACTTAAGCAACCATCAATTTAATATAGATCGTCATATCAAAAACCATGAGTAATTATGCAAAAAATAAAGAGAAAGGAACCCAAGGCTATCACTAAGGAAAGCCAGCAAACCATGAGAGAACAGAGCAAGAGGAGAAACGATCAGGGAAAAAAACCTCAAAAACAACCACAAAACAAGTAACAAAATGGCAATAAATACATACTTACCAATAATTGCTTTGACTGTAAATTAGCTAAACGCTCCAATCAAGACATAGGGTGACGGAATGGATAAAAAAAAACAAGGGGTGCCTGGGTGGCTCAGTCATTGTCTGCCTTCGGCTCAGGTCATGATCCCAGGGTCCTGGGATCGAGCCCCGAGTCAGGCTCTCTGCTCAGTGGGAAGCCTGCTTCTCCCTCTCCCACTCCCCCTGCTTGTGTTCCTGCTCTCACTGTCTCTCTCTGTCAAAATAAATAAATAAAATCTTAAAAAAAAAAAAGACCCATCTATATGCTGTCTATAAGAGACTCATTTCAGGCCTAAAGACACATGCAGAATGAAAGTGAGGGGATGGAGGGGCGCCTGGGTGGCTCTGTAGGTTAAGCATCCAACTCTTGATTTCGACTTGAGATTCTCTCTCCCTCTCCTTCTGCCCCTCCCCCACTCACATTTGCATGTGCTCACTTGCTCTGTCTCTCGCTCTCTCTCAAATAAATAAATAAAATCTTTTTTAAAAAGTGAGGGGATGGAGAAACATGCATCATGCAAATGGATGTCAATAGAAAGCTTGGTGGCAATACTTATGCCGGACAAAATAGATTTTAAAACAAAGACTGTAACAAAAGACAAAGAAGGACACTATATAATAATAAAGGGGACAATCCAACAAGAAGATATAACAATTGTAAATATTTATGCACCCAACATGGGAGCAGCCAAATACATAAAACAGTTAAATAACAGGGGTGCCTGGGTGGCTCAGTCAGTTATGCATCTGACTCATGATTTCAGCTCAGGTCGTAATCTTGGAGTTGTAGGATTGAGCCCTGTGTCAGGCTCTGTGCTCAGCATAGACTCTGCTTGAGATTTTCTCTCCCTCTCCCTCTACTCCTCCCCCACCCCTGCTCAAGCACTCTCTCTCAAATAAATAAATAAAATCTTTTTTTTAATCTCTTTAAAAAGATAAAAATAAATAACAGCAGGTTACTTTTTGCATACTTTTTAAAAAATTTTTATTGTTATGTTAATCACCATACATTACATAATTAGTTCTTGATGTAGTGTTCCATGATTCATTGTTTGTGCATAACACCCACTGCTCCACGCAGAATGTGCCCTCTTTAATACCCATCACCAGACTAACCCATCCCCCCACCCCCCTCCCCTCTAGAACCCTCAGTTTGTTTTTCAGAGTCCATCGTCTCTCATGGTTCGTCTCCCCCTCCGACTTACTTCCCTTCATTCTTCCCCTCCTGCTTCTTTTTTTTTCTTCTTAACATATATTGCATTATTTGTTCCAGAGGTACAGATCTGTGATTCAACAGTCTTGCACAATTCACAGCACTCGCCATAGCACATACCCTACCCAATGTCTATCACCCAGCCACCCCATCTCTCCCATCCCCCACCACTCCAGCAACACTCAGTTTGTTTCCTGAGATTAAGAATTCCTCATATCAGTGAGGTCATATGATACTTGTCTTTCTCTGATTGACTTATTTCACTCAGCATAACACCCTCCAGTTCCATTCACGTCGTTGCAAATGGCAAGATCTCATTCCTTTTGATGGAGGCATAATATTCCATTGTGTATATATACCACATCTTCTTTATCCATTCATCAACAGCAGGTTACTTTTAACACCCCACTTACATCAATGGACAGTCATCCAAACAGAAAATCAACAAGGAAACAGTGGCTTTGAATGACACACTGGACCAGATGGATTTAACAGATATATTTAGAACATTCCATCCTAAAACTGCGGAATACACATTCTTCTCAAGGACACATGGAACATTCTGCAGAATGGATCATATATTGGGCCACAAAACAGGTCTCAACAAATTCAGAAAGATCAAAGTTATACCATGCATCTTTTCTACCACAACATTATGAAACTATAAATCAACCACAAGAAAAAATCTAGAAAGAGTACAAATACATGGAGGTTAAATAACATGCTAGGAACAATGAATGGGTCAACCAAGAAATCAAAGAAGAAATCAAAAATTACACGGAAACAAATGAAAATGAAAACACAATAGTCCAATAATAATGAAAATAATAACAGTCTAATAAAAATGAAAACAATAATCTTTGGGATGCAGGAAAAGCGATTCTAAAAGGGAGGTTTCAGCAAAACAGGCCTACCTCAAGAAGCAAGAAAAATCTCAAACAACCTAACCTTATACCTAAAGCAGCTACAAAAAGAAGAAAATACAAAACCTAAAATAATAAGTTATTAAAATGTAATTTTAAGGAAGTAAAATGATATCAATATATCACAGCACACTAATTAAGCTTATTCCTACTTGGGTATATTAATTCCAATATTACATTGTTGATCTTGATTTGTATAACAGCCTTCATAAGCTACCATATACATTGCCAATAAACAATCAACTAAATAACATTATTAATTCTCAAACAGAACAGAGATTGAGAAGAAAATATAAACACTGGAGCACCTGGATGGTTCAGTCGGTTAAGCGTCTGCCTTCGGCTCAGGTCATGACCTCTGGGTCCTGGGATCGAGCCCCACATCGGGCTCCCTGCTCAGCGGGAAGCCTGCTTCTCCCTCTCCCTCTGCCGCTCCCCCTGCTTGTGCTCGCACGCTCTCTCTCTGTCAAATAAATAAGAAGTCTTAAAAAAAAAAAAGAAAATGTAGAGCAAGAATTTGATAAAGTAAGAACCCCTGAATCAAGATGGAGAGTCTTTCAGACCCAGGAGAGTGGGAGAAGAAAGAGTAAGGAAAGTGGGACAGAGAGAGAGACTGAGAGAGGGAGAGAGATAGAGATTATTTAACCTTTTGGAAAATATTGACCATTCTGTTTCAAATTCTTACACATAACCACAAATTGACTTTAAGCTGTATCTTGATACCTGTAATCCCCCAAAAATTGTTATCAAAACAGGCAATTTCCTGAATGCTTTCAAAGAACAAACTAATAGAGGCAGATTGGTAGAATCCAGTTAAAAGTACACTGGAACATTTAAAAGGATTGTCAGCAGTAGAAGCACTTACCCACTTTGAGATCAGAGATTCCCAGTTACATGGGAAGAAATTTCATTTCTCAGATCATTTCAGAACCTAATAATGTGATAAACACATAAGGTTATTTTATTTGGAAAATAATTTATCTTAGTTTTTGTAGTTCTGTTTAATAAAGTCTGCCTGGAGGCGCCTGGGTGGCTCAGTTGGTCAAGCATTTGACTCTTGATTTTGGCCCAGGTCACCATCCCACGGTCATGGGATCATGCCCTGAGTCAGCTTGAAATTCTCTCTCCCCTTCCCTTTGCCCCTCCCCCTTCTCTAAAATAAATAATCTTTTAAATGAAAATAAATAAATCATAAAAATCAAATATCTTAAATAGAAAAGGGTATAAAAACTTACAAATATGTCACACAAAGCAGAACACAATACTATGTTCTCTTAGACCAAAATATGGTTTCCACAGTCAACAAAACAAAGAGGCAACCCACAGAATGGGAGAAGATACTTGCAAACGACACTACAGATAAAGGGCTGGTATCCAATCTATAAAGAACTTCTCAAACTCAACACCAAAAAAACAAATAATCAAGTCAAAAAGTGGGCAGAAGACATGAACAGACACTTCTCCAAAGAAGACATACAAATGGCTAACAGACACATGAAAAAATGTTCATCATCATTAGCCATCAGGGAAATTCAAATCAAAACCAGTTAGAATGGCAAAAATTGACAAGGCAAGAAACTACAAATGTTGGAGAGGTTGTGGAGAAAGGGGAACCCTCTTACACTGTTGGTGGGAATGCAAGTTGGTGCAGCCACTTTGGAAAACAGTGTGGAGGAGCCTCAGAAAATTAAAAATAGAGCTACCCTATGACCCAGCAATTGCACTCCTGGGTATTTACCCCAAAGACACAGATGTAGTGAAAAGAAGGGACATATGCACCCCAATGTTCATAGCAGCAATGTCTGCAATAGCCAAACTGTGGAAAGAGCCGAGATGCCCTTCAACAGATGAATGGATAAAGAATATGTGGTCCATATATAGAATGGAATATTACTCAGCCATCAGAAAGGATGAATACCCAACTTTTACATCAACATGGATGGGACTGGAAGAGATTATGCTACGTGAAGTAAGTCAAGCAGAGAAAGTCAATTATCATATGGTTTCCCTTATTTGTGGAACATAAAGAATAGCACGGAGGACATTAGGAGAAGGAAGGGAAAAATGAAGGCAGGGAATCGGAGGGAGAGATGAACCATGAGAGATTATGGACTCTGAGAAACAAACTGAGGGTTTTAGAGGGAAGGGGGTGGGTGGCTAGCCTGGTGATGCGTATTAAGAAGGGCACGTACTGCATGGAGCACTGGGTGTTATACGAAAACAATGAATCGTGGATCACTACATCAAAAACTAATGATGTACTGTACGGTGACTAATATAATAAAATAAAATTTTAAAAAAATACATGGTTTCCAAAGTCTCAGATGACTTTGCTTTCTCTTTTTTTTTTTTTTTCAGATGACTTTGCTTCTTAGGCCATTCTAGATATATTCTAGTATATCAACAAGAAATTTTTAAAACTCGGCCATTTTGAACTAAAACCGTTTCTCAGTTAAGCCAAACTACATGGAAGGAGACAGAAAGAGAAATCCTCTGTCAAAATAAATCTTTTACCATTTTCCAATTACAAAAGTTCATGGTCCTATGTCAAAGATAGTCTGGGGGTGCCTGGGTGGCTCAGTCGTTAAGCATCTGCCTTCAGCTCAGGTCACGATCCCAGGGTCCTGGGATCGAGCCCGGCATCAGGCTCTTGGCTCAGCTGGAAGCCTGCTTCTCCCTCTCCCACTCCCCCTGCTGTGTTCCCTCTCTCGCTGTGTCTCTCTCTGTCAAATAAATAAATAAAATTTAAAAAAAAAAGATAGTCTGTCCACCATCTTGGAATTTCTGGAATAATCTCCTTCACTTTCACTTTCTTTTTCTCCCTCAAATAACCAGGGCCACTAGGATCTGGGGACTTTGCATCAATACAATTTCTGACTCCAATCTGCATTTTTGTCTCAGTGCTGTGATGTTATCAGAAAGGTCATGGGATGTACAGAAATACACCAAGTCACAGAGAATGTAGATTCTTTGTTGGCAATGTATATAGTAACTTATGAAGGCTGTTCTACAAATCAAGAAACAAAGTATTCCTTGAGAAGAACTTCCTAAAACCCCCAAGGTTCCAGAAGAAAAAAGGGTATGAAGCTATGAATTATACCACCCATATGAAGTAAGGATTCTTTCCATTGCAGAAGCTCCCTTTGACATTCTCATTTGATTTTATACCATCTTGTCCTTCCAATCCACTCCTGACTGTTTTGCAGATTTGGCTACATGTATCATATCTGGAGCAAATAACAAGTGTAAAGCAACTTATTTCTAAACATTTATTGCAAAACTCATTAAAATAAAGGTCGGGGTGCCTAGGTGGCTTGGTCGGTTAAGCGTCTGCCTTCAGCTCAGGTCATGATCCCAGTGTCCTGGGATCAAGGCCCACATCAGGCTCCCTGCTCAGTGGGAATTCTGCTTCTCCTTCTCCCTCTGCCCTCTCTCCACTCATGCTCTCTCTCAAATAAATAAAATCTTTAAATATATATATAAAATAAAATAAAATAAAATAAAATAAAATAAAATAAAATAAAATGAAGGTTCAGTAAAATAGAGGAATTCCTTCCCTCTTTATAGTATTACTGTTATTGTTTTACATATTATGTCTATTTATGTTATAAACTAACCAATACAGATTACTGCTTGATACAATCTTAGGATGCTTTGTTTTTTTTTAAAGATCTCAACCCAGGGCTTGAACTCACAACTCGGAGATCAAGACCCGACCTGAGATAGAGAATCAGACACTTAACCAGCAGAGCCACGCTGGCACCCTGAGAACTTTTAAAGAAGAAAGACCGATTTATAGACTCATATAGATTACATGCTATAAACCCAATAATACAATTCTACAGCTATTGTTAAACAATTATTTTAAATAATCAATCTTAAAAATAGAAAAAAAGGGGGTGCCTGGGTGGCTCAGTCAGTTGAGTTCTGACTCTTGATTTCAGCTCAGGTCATGATCTCCAGGTAGTGGGATTGAGCCCCATGTCAGGCTCCATGCTCAGTGCAGAATCTGCTCAAGATTCTCTCTCTCCCTCTCCCTGCTCACCCTCTCTCCCTCTCTCTAAGTAAATAAATAAAACCTTTAACAAATAGAAAAAAAAATACTGTTTTTTATATGTTCCTAGGTAATGAGAGTTTTTTCCATTGCTGCTAATTTTGGGGGGTGGATTCAAGTTATCTGGGGTCAGTTCCTTTCAATCTTAAAGACTTTCTTTAGTATCTTTTTTAGAGCAGATCTGCTAGCAACAAAAATTCTGTTTTTGTTAATCTAGAAATATTACCTTGCTTTTATTGTCTTTAATACACTTTTAGTTTTTAGATAAGTTTTAGGTTCACAGCAAAATTGAGCAGAAAGTACAGAAAGTTCCCAAATACCCCTTGGCCCCAGTACATGCAGGGCCTCGCCAACTATCAACATTCTGTAGTAGAAGAGTGCATTTGTTACAACTGAATCTACATTGACACATCATTATCACCCAAAGTCCATAGGTTTTATTAGGGTTCATTCTTTGTGTTTTAAATTCCATGGATTTTGACAAATGTATAATGACATGTATCCACCATTATAGTACCATACGGGCGTAGTTACACTGCTCTAAAAATCCTGTGTCTATTCATTCCTCCCTCCCCCCAACCCCTGGCAACCACTGATCTTGTTACTGTATCCATGATTTTGCCTTTTCTAGAATGTCATGTAGTTGAGACCACACAGTATTTAGCCTTGTCAGACTAGCTTCTTTCACTTAGTGTAATAAACATTCAAGGTTCCTTGATGTCTTTCCACAACATGAAAAGGCCACTGCATTTCTTCTTACCACTAATATTCCAACGTCTGGATGTACCACAGTTTATCCTAACAAAAGACATTGTAATTGCTTCCAAGCTTTCACAGTTATGGATAAAGTGGCTATAAACATCCATATGCATCCATACTTTTTTTGTGGACATAAGTTTCAAACTCCTTTGGGCAAAAACCAATGTGACTGCTATATTGCATTGTAACAGTATATTTAGTCACGTACACGCACACACACCCAGTTTTATTGAGATATAATTGACATACATCACTGAATGAGCTTCCGGTTTACAGCATCAAGGTTTGATTTACATATTGTGAAATTATTACCACAATAAGTTCAGTTAACATGTCATCTAATATAGATACAATAAAAAGAAATGGGAAGAAAAATAATTAACTTCTCTTTGTGATGAAAACTCTTAGGATTTACTCTCTCAACAATAAAACAATAACTCTCTTCATATATGTCACACAGCAGTGGTAACTACACTCATCATGTTGTGCATTATATCCCTAATATCTATTTATCTTATAACTTTAAGTTTGTACTTTTTGACCACCTGCCTCCAATTACCCTTCCTCCCACCACTGCCTCTGGTAGCCACAAATCTGATCTCTTTTTCTAGTAGTTTGTTGTTGTTGTTTAGATTCCACATACATGCAAGATCATACAGTATTTCTCTGTCTAACCTATTCACTTAGCATAATGCCCTCAAAGTCCATCTGTGTTGTTGCAAATGGCAGGATTTCCTAATTTTTTTATTAGGACGTTTAGTTTTTTAAATATTTTTTTAAGATTTTATTTATTTGAGAGAGAGAGAGAGAGCACGAGCAGGGGGAAAGGCAGAGGGAGAAGGAGAAGCAGACCCCCCACTGAGTAGGAAGCCTGACTTGGGGTTTGATCCCAGGACTCCAGGATCATGACCTGAGCCAAAGGCAGACGCTCAACCAACTGAGCCACCCAGGTGCCCCTAGTATGTTTAGTTTTATAAGAAACTGCCAAAATGTGTTCAAAACTGGTTGTACCATTTTGCATTCCTATCAACAATCAGGGAGCATTCCTGTTGCTCCACATTCTTGCCAGCATTTGGTGTTGTCGGTGTCTCTGAGGCTCTGTTCACTTTTCCTCATTT